AATATTTCATTGAGCTATCAGAATTGACATAATCATTAAGCTAGAATACTTGAATTCAACTCAAAGGCAGCCATAATTACTTGTGAACAAAAATTCCGTTGAATTTTTGTGGAACTCTTTTTCTCGATGTGATGGACTGCTGAGCTTATGCTGGAAGAAGACATAACTGCCATGCTAGAGAAAGTATCATGGAGTAAGGTCTCGGAAGCCTATATTTTAGCATGACCAAGCTATAAAAATAAGGTCAAACTAACTTCTATTTGAATGGAGAATCGAGAGCTACCATCGATGCCATTATATTGGCGAATATGCAAGATGCTTGATAAAGTTATACTTCTTTGTTGTTGAACTCCATTTGCATAGTGTTCATGCTACGCTTACTATAAAATACCAAGCTTGATGATAGCTTAGTTAGACATCATCTATTTTATGTGGAGCTTCCCTATATTTATGCGTAACCCTTGGGCTTTGTTGTCACATTTTACAAAAATAAGATAACTCGATAACATTGGCAATGTTTTGGGGAAAAATTGGCAGTGATAGTTGTGACACACTATTGAGATTGATTAAAAATTGAGGGCTTTTGAAGGAAGATAACATTTGCATCAGATGGAAGGAAGATATCTAGCAAAAAAATTCAACTATAGTGGACTCCTTTGGTTATTTTACTAGCACCTAGTTGGTCAGCTGGAGAGTTGCACCGTATGAGTGTGCATGTAGATTGGATGATTGGGTGGTAGGAATAAATATCATTTACGCCTTAGATATGTGAAAGGGAATTGGAATTGCATTTGTACTTTGAGGCCATGTTGTAAGATATATAGACTCAATGCTCTATCAAATATTGTACCGATATAGTGGATGAAAATAGATTTGATTCACTACAATATCAAACTAGCCCTTTGGACAATGTTGAGGAATCATATTTTTTAGACCATTACACTCGTACATGGCTATAAAACTGCTTATCACTGACTCGAACTTGCACTTGGCTAGGTTGTTTCGATTGATTATTATCTTACATCTACTTGCGTTTTTAGGTCTATCGCTTAATGAAGACCGATTCCTATCCGCGTTTCCTCAAAAGCGAATGTTACCTCAACTTATGTGCTCAGCACTCAGGTGGAGCAAACATTCACATCAAATCTGCGTCGCACCTCGGTTCACCAAGCCCAACCTGTATTCAGCCTGGCTTGACTGGCCTCAATTCTCAAGCCACGGTCGCGAGCACAACTAAAATAGCAAATAATCCTATTCCATTTTTAGAATCAAATCTTTCTGTTTCAACTCGTTTGGCTTTTTCTTGCTCCAGCCTTGCCGTGTTGCCTAATGAGCTCGAGGAGGGAGCGACTCCAAGTCTTGAGTTACAGGACAGGTCTTGCTCTTCGTGGCGGAACAGCAAATGCAGTATCGATGCCTATGTTACGGGTTCTAACAGCTACAGCCATGACGAACCTCTTGATTGCCATATACATACTTCTTCGTATAATCAGCAGATACCCATTTCACATTCAGGTGGCTGGGCATTGTTAAGGCAGCGTTTCTTTTCCCGACACGCACGTAAAGCTAAATCAGCGACTATCTCACGACGTCCCACTACTTTCACCAGACATCGGATTTCCTACCATGATCGATCTCCTGATCTTGAGTCTCATAGCCCCACCGAAGAGGCAGGGGCAACGTCTATGCTGACTCCTCTCATTGTTACTATGGCATCAACAGTCGATTGTTGGCCTTCTATTGACAGGCACAATCATATTGATTCCAATGCTACATGTTGTGTCGCCAACTATCCTTGCAGTGAAATGGAGTTAACGAAAACACTGATGCCAACCTCAGCCGTCGCGGACATCAAGATGGTAAAAGAACCTGATTGCCCTAATTGTAAAACACGAGCTTTCAAAAATCTGAATTACAATCAACACCATCCCCACAAGCCGCATCATTTTTACTCCCGTTATCATCTACGACCGGATGTAACTCAAGGCATCTTGTCATTTGCCGCAGAGTCCACACCTTTGCGTAGACCTTTGATGCAAAGGAATGATACAGAGAACGTCTCGCCCCTACCGGAAACGAGACCATATCATAATGATTCAACTCCTAGGATGAAGGGTATGAGTTTCTTTTAAGCCCACCCCTTCGTTTTTCCTCCAGCCTCTAAATGGCCCCTACATCTTTCATATCATGCGTTTACATAATGCTTGGTTTGTTTAAATATTCAATCGCCAGTCGAGGTGGCCATGGTCATTGTCTCCCCTCTGGCATGAAATTGAATTGTTCCTTGCAGCGTTCTGTTTACACTTTATTTCTGCTATCTACCTTCTTTTTCCTTAGTAAATGCAGCATAGCATGGTGGTAATATGCTACCTATTGATAGAAATTAAACGATTTTCCGAATAGATGCCAAGAAATTCCTTATTATATAAGACAAGAGTATATTACAAAATAGGATGAGCCTCATATGATTTCCCTTGTGCCAAATAATGTTTCATTTTATTAAATGCATGACACCGATGGTGAACTCTATCGTTTTTCCATTTGGAGGTTTTTAACGGGATAGGGCAGATAAAACATCGTGATAAGATAACGTTACGTATTAAAGGAGAATAGCCGACGCAGGAGTGCGCACTAGGGTAGGAAACATG